TTTTTTTTTTTTTTTTTTTTTCTATGATCACTTGAATTTTGAGCAGATACTACACAAGTGAATCCAGTATCTTCCTAAATGATCCCAAGTTAACAGCAGCAGTCTGCATCCACCCACATTCTCTCTTACCTGCTCCCCCTTGCCCTTTTCCCCTTCATTTCCACCACCCCCTTTTGCCACCTGTTTACTTTTCAGCTGGACAGCCTAATCTCTGAACATTCCTTGTGAATGTAGTATTTATTTGTGTACAAAAATGTGAATGAAAGGGAGCATCCTTACTTTTCCTGCTAGTTCTAGGAGTAAAGAAAAAGGGCCACTTCACCACCACAGCAGGTTGAGCCAGACCTCATGCCTCAGTTCTGATTAGTGCCCCCTGTTGATTTGCTCATTGTAAGTCTTGTTGCAAGCTCCTCCAGAAAGAGCTGCTAGACACTGCTTGTGAACAAGGAAATATCTTGGCAAAAAGACTGTAACTAGCCCTGGGCGGGTGGGGAGGGGGTGCTATAGTGAAAGAGGATGTGGAGAAATTGCTTCCTTCCCATGTTCCTAAACTGGACAGAGAAATGAAACTGAGGGTGTGGGGAAAGAGGGTGTACTGATCTCATGTCCAAAAACACAATAACCCAGCCCTTTTACTGGTGAAACTGTTCAGAATTTTTTAGATTTGCCCAGCCCTTGGCTGTGACTTGGATGTACTGTTGGAGGGCTTTCTGTAGTAGTCTGATATGATGAACTTGTTTGCTTGTTTTTGTTTTGATTTTTTTTGTAAATATTGTGTATTTAATATTTTGAGGCCAGCAATTGCAAATGTGGCTAGAATGCCTGGCTGCTAAACAGTGCATCTGATTCTGTCCTGAACGGATGGTTTGCACAGCAAACCTCCCTTAGCTTTCTTACTCCTTCCATCCTGTTTCTCCTGGACACTTAGACAATGAGTGGGCCAAGAGTTGTGTCTCTCTCTGGGTGAGGGACTAGCTCTTGCCTATGAAGACTCCTGAAGCATTGTTGCTTAGTAATGAGATTGGAGCCTGTAAATTTTTTTGTCTCTTGCTTTAGAAAGAATCCACCAGAGTGGTAAGAGATGTTGTGTATGTGTATTGTATGAAAGTCTTAAATGTCTGTACAGATCATAATTAAATTTTGGTCATAAGTTTATGGGGCCTAATTACTGGCCACCATGGGGCTGGGCTGACATTGGTGGCACTTCTGGAGAAAGTTATGATGTAACCACAGTGTTCTGGAGACGCCATCAGTATGGGGGCAAGGCAGTTGGCCATAAATAAATTGTACTCTGATTGCCAGTTTCAGACCCACAAACACCCCTTAAGCCACAGACAGGTAACTTGCAAACAGCTACTTGTCTCTCCCTTTGGCTTTCTAATCTATCTTGCATCTTTTTTTTCTTCCCCCTCTCATCACCCACCTGTTGCCCATTGTAATTATCCTAAACTTTTTAATATTGTTGTTTCTTTTTAAAAAGTTTTATTAAAACTGCATTGTTTTATGTTGTTTGGGTTGAAAAGAAGTAATCTGAGGAATGTTGTCACCCTCAACCATGGAGAGCTTTTTCCCACCCTGCCATCAGCACTGTCTCCCCCACTCCAGTTGTAATGGCTTGGGGAGAGGGGAGATGAAGTGGCTCTGTAGCAGTTGCCTTAAGGAAAAGAGGATGACATTTTAAATTGGACATATGAGGGAGGGAGTCTCTTTAAATGCTTAACTAGATAGATAATGACTAAGTCTGGGTACTGGGAATGAGGTCACTTCTCTTGCTCCATGTATGTGTTAATGGGAAGGGTGTAGCCCGAAACTAGGCTTCAACTAGTCAGACTGGTCTTGCTTTTGGGTCTGAAACTACGCTGTCTTTTAGCTGTACCTCCCAGTCATTGCAATGTAAAATATTCATATTGGGGGTGGATATGTCTGAAAACTGGATTAATACCTTTATCCTTGGTGTGCCCTCTTTGAATGTCCAGTAGCTGCCTCCCTTTGTCCCCCCCAACACTGTTTTTCTATTGCTTGAGTTATTTTGCTGATTGCTTCACCCTCTGGGCTGCAGCTTTAAGACTGGCCTCAATTTTCCCCTCGTACAGGTGCACCACCAGATCCAACTTCACTGAAGTTGAAGTGTAAAACTGACTTGCAAAAGGAGTTGGAATGAGGGAGGGGGTAGGGTTTTCTTCTTTCATCTCTGAATTTCTTAGGCAAATAGGGTACTAAGCCACAGCCCAGCTCACCTGACTTCTGTTCCCAGCTGAATCACTGTGGGCTTTGCACATGTTGCTTTCCTAGTCCATGCTATAATTTTTTAACCAAGTTCGTGTCTGTCTACTGATTTGGTAGGCTGTTGTATGACTCGATTCTGCATAAAGAGTTGATTCAGGAACAGGATTACTGAAATTCCTTGCTCAAGCATAGACATTCCTTCCTGACCCTCCCAAATGCAAACACTGGAGAGGGAAAGATGCATGTGTTTCATAGTTTTCATAGATGTTAGGGCCTGGAAGGGACCTTACAGATCATCAGGTCCAGTCTCCCTGCACTTAGGCAGGAAAGACTGCTGGGGTCAGATGAGCCCAGCAATGTGGGTGTTAAGATGCCTTTTGAAGACCGCCAGCATGGATGACTATACCACCTCAGGGGGGAGCCTGTGCCAAACCCTTGGCACTCAACTTGTAAAGAAGCATTTCCTTATGTCCACTGTGAAGCACTCTTCAATCAGTTTGTGTCCATTGTTTCTTGTCCTCTGCTGGGGGGCCTTAGTAAACAGATGCTCCCCCAGGCCCTGATGTATACCGGTAATATGCATATAGGCTGCCATCAAGTCCTCTCTGAGTCTTCTCTTCTCCAGTCTGAGAATCCCAAGTCTTTCAGCTTCTCTTATGACCTGCTCTCTAGGCCTCTAGTCATGCACATGGCCCTCCTTTGGAGACTCAGGCTTCTTCACATCCTTCCTGAAGTGTGGCACCCAGAACTAGATGCAGTACCTTAGCTGCAGTCTCACCAAGGCCAAGTAGGGCAGGTGATGACATCCTTAGCCTTGCAAGGATTCATCCAGTCCATTTTCAGGAGACCATCTTTCCTAGTTCTTAGCTCAGTCCAGTTAAAACTAATGCTGGTAAAGCCCTTCCACTGTTTAAATTAGATGCTTTCACAGAATGGACTTGTCCCCAAATGCTTCCTGATATATCCTCATCTTTGTTTGCTCACTATATTATTTCTGGTTCATGTTCCCCAGACACTTGCTGTCCTTCCTTGGGGCTTACATTTTTCCAGTTCTTGATATTTGTACCTATCTGACTCCCACCCAGAGCCATATTGCTCCTGTTTTGGCTGGGACAACGGCAATAGTCATGGGTCAAGGCACTGGTATGTTCTTCCCATAGCAGCTGTGCTCAGATCTTCCTTTTGCCGTTTTGAGAAGCAGAGGTATTTCAAAAGGAAACTGGAAGCTAGCCCAGCAGGAGGGTGCACTCCAACACTCCTCTGGCTCCTTTGTTTTGGGAGAAACCAGTCTTTACATTTTTCTATCTCCCTTGAGATTCTTATTTTAATAGGAAAAATGGGGGCACAAAGCATAACAACTCAGTACTACTATCTGCCTGCACAGAGTCCTTTCAACATCTCTGTGTAGCACCCCCAGATAATCTCTCTAAGCTGCCCTTAGAATGGCTAAGAGCACCCCTCATGAAGGATTGGTATTAAGGCCAGAGGAGTCAGTGTGACCACTGGGGGGTAAAGGTTACACTGTATAGGCCACCTCAGTATAGTATGAAGGACTTTACAACTGCATTTCATTTATTAAATCACACCTGAAAGGCATTACACACATTCTGTAATTCACGACAATGCATTCACAAGCCTTTGTGCAGGCTGCAAGGCACTGTGGTACAAGTTGTTCACTGGAACAACTGTCCCTTGCTGAACTTGATTATCCAGCTTTGTACAAACACCAGCGCAGTAGCAAAGAAGCAGAATGAAGATCAAGGTTATGACAACAACTTAGAACTTGAGAGACCAAGGTTCAAATCTAGTATCTACCATTGAAAAATACTCCCAAGGTTTATCTACATGTGCAATTAGGGTAAAGCAATAAACTCTGGTGCAGTTTATGCCATAGTTAACTGCTCCTGGGCACAGTGTCTACACATACATACCAGACAGCAGCAATTTGAGCCAGGGCAGAGCAAACCTCTGGATAACACAATTTATACCCATGTTCACTGTCTATAGGTGTGTTTCGATGCAATAAAGTACTCCCCCATAAGATAGTACTGTCCCCAACAGTACTATCCTATGGCTGATTTACTGAGCCTAATATCATGTATACACAGTGGAGCTAATTAGTTACTCCACAGTAAAGTGCACCCTCAGTGACTCTTCCCCAAATCCTCATGGCAGCCATGTTTGTAGTGGTGTGTAATTGTGCACAGTGATAGTAAGGAGTGGGTTTTGTGACATTAGAATGGATGGCAGTGGCCAAAAGGGTTGAATAGTTATATTGCCAAATGCAAATTTGCCCCTAGCTTTGCCAGCATTTAACATCACTTTTTTTTTTGAAAGAGCCCTCTGTTGGTGGGGGAAGGTGCTACTTTGGCAAGGCTGCAGTGCATGCTCTGGCCATCTGTTGGCATTGCAAATCAAAGTATGAAATAGCTAATGTACTGTGAAGATGCGCATTATTGCTGCCACATCCACTTTTCCCAAAGGCTCTTCATGAGAGGAAAGCTGCCTGGATTTATTACAGTCTTTTTTCAGCTGAAACGCATCTGTCCCAAGTGTGGTCCACAGGTTTGGCTGGAACATTTCACACATTCAGAGAAGTGCTTTCTCTGTCTGAAAAGAGAAGGAGACCTTGC